CACGGCTGTAGAGCATCCCCACCAGCCCCCTTCCTGTGAGGACTTTGCTGGGGTCCATGGGGTCTCCAAAGGCTGTTGCCTGTTGGGCTCCAGCCACTCCTGCGGAAGAGCTCTGGGGGTCCGTAGGCAGTGCGACCCTTCCCGAGGGCCACGCTGACCCTTCCCAAGTATCACAGAATCACAGAATGGTTAGGGTTGGAAGGGACCTCTGGAGATCATCTAGTCCAACCCCCCTGTCAGAGCAGGGTCACCTACAGCAGGTTGCACAGGACAGCGTCCAGGCGGGTTTTGAATGTCTCCAGAGTGGGAGACTCCACCACCTCTCTAGGCAGCCTGTTCCAGTGCTCCACTACCCTCAAAGTAAAGAAGTTCCTTCTCATGTTAAGATGGAACTTCCTATGTTCAAGTTTATGCCCATTCCCCCTCGTCCTATCACTGGGCGCCACTGAAAAAAGACTGTTCCCATCCCCCTGGCATCCTCCCGTTAAGTATTTGTAAGTATTAATAAGATCCCCCCTCAATCTTCTTTTGTCTAGACTAAAGAGTCCCAAGTCCCTAAGCCTTTCTCCATAGGAGAGATGTTCCAGTCCCCTAATCATCTTCGTTGCCCTTTGCTGGACCCTCTCCAGCAGTTCCCTGTCCTTCTTGAACTGGGGAGCTCAGAACTGGATGCAGTACTCCAGATGCGGCAAAGTAAATCACGTTTGGCATGGTTTCCATCGCAGTCCGTACTGATTTGCTTAGTGAGCTGGTGGATGGATAATTTTTCCTGCCGCTTTGCCGATGGTGCTCGAGGGATTTCTGTGCTGCGCCTTGGGCTCAGCTGAGTGCCGGAGCCCGAAACTGCAGGAACCGAGGCTGGACTGTGCCTGGTGTCTTTACATCCAAGAGGCATTGGCCTCGAGGACCAGGCTCTGCCTGCCAGTTTTCGTGATGAAATCCTCCAAACCAGTGGTCAACTAAGGACTGGGCTGACCCACGTCTGCTGCAGCAATGCAAATCAGCCGTTACCTTGGTTTAATTGAGCTGCACGCTCCGACTGCTTTATACTGCCCTGGTTTGAGTCATTACATACTTAAAAGTTGAGAAATCAGTGTTGACAATATGTCTTACAATTGTTAAAATAGCGCATGGTGTTTGTGCATGCCCTGTTTAAGATAAAAATACAGAATTTCGTAGGCAAGAGTTTACGGTGGAGGTGAGCTTGGAAATCCATGTCAGTTGTTCATGGGCAGACACAGTAAAAAGAGGGACTGTGAGAAATCTAACCGGTCTCTAATAAATGGTGCTCGTTGCGTCCTATTGTTGCTGTGAGAGTAGAAGCTGTATGCCAACCTTCATTTCCTTTTCCTTATTTTAACACATACAGACTTCTTTAAATTTTTCTGCTGGGGTTTTGGGGCAGGCAAGGCAGCCGGGCCAGGCTCCAGGGCTGCGGGATGGGGCTGCGGGGAGGGGGGGACCTGCTGAGAACTCCCACTGTTTAGTAACTTTTAACATAGGGGATGAGAGGGAGGGACCTTTCTTGAGTTAGTCTAGGCTTTGCTTTGACTTGGAAGTCATTTAAGGGCTGTAAACCAGCCACCGCTCAGCCCCTGCGTTTGTCTGAGCTCATCTGAGATGCCTCGGGCAGATCAACAAGCTTGTGACTGCTGCCAAACCTGCCATGTTTCGATGTTTCGTACGTTCCCTTGGGCGGGTTTACCAGATAGGAAAGATGAATTTGAGCGGAGAACCATCCAACTGTAATTATATAAAACAAAGCAGCAAAGTTTTTACAAAACCTAGACTCCATAAAAGTAGCTGTTAAGCAAAAAATGACAAATCTTGTTTGTTCTGCTGCTGTACGCCCAATTAGACGCCAAAACACAATTAAGAACCAAACCCATCTTGCTTGCTGCGGTGGCCAGCTTGGGCTGGAGGGTGCGGCTGTCTCTGCGGCCACGGGGAGATCAGCATTTTATCCCTCATTTCCCCCATCTGCACCTGCAAATCGTTCCCCAGCAGGGCTCACTGCTTCGCTCGCTGTGTCAATGGATGGGGTGAATTAGCTCCAATACGACCTGTTTTTCACAATGAGTTGTTACGGTGACTTTATTCTTACGGTTACGCGTTTGATTAGCAGCTTTGAAACTTTCTCACAGCTTTGCAGGTTTCACGGCTAAAATTCCCCAGGCGTTTGGTTTGTTCTGCGACTGGTCACCCAGGTCGTGTTCAGGCTGAGGGGCTCAGGAGGTTTCCTGCTCAGGTGGGAGGATGCTAACCTCCTTTGAGAAGACTTTGGTGTACAAAATCATGTAAAATAGTCTATTTTTTTTTTTTTAAAGTACATATATGAGTATGTATAAACAATGTATATAAATACTGTAAGGGAGCAGGTAGCAGTCTTTAATATGGGTAATTCTGCGCATCTGAAGTGTTGCTGGCCTGGGACTTGGCAGTGGCCGTGCCAGGGCAGTGGCCATTCCATGGCTCGCTGCTAGACCCAGGTATGGAAAACGGTCACCGAGGAGTGTAATTAATTGGGATCGTAGGTGACACCCACGGTCCCTGGGGGAAGGCGCACGATGTGGTGGCAGTGCGGTGACTCTGGTTGTTGCAGGCTCTACGAGGGGAAGGAGACAGCTGAGTTCCAGCAATCACTGCAGCGGTTCTTCCTCTCCCTGAACCAGCTGATGAAGTCCCCGCTGGACGGTCCTACACTGCTCTCCCAGGTATGACGGGGGCTGGTGCTGCAGGGGGGCTCAGCTCCGGTGCGTGGTGGGATGGACGGTGCCCCAGCGAGGGTGACAGTGGCTGTGCCTGTGCAGGGGTGACACTGGCCATCCTGCACGCAGACCTCCTCGTGCACAGGGGTTCAAAGCGACCTGCCATCCTGCCTGGTGCCTTGCTCCCCCCGAGGACACCCACTTGTGTCCCCGGTGCAAAGCCCTCTGAGGTCTCAGACCACAAAACCCCGCATTGCGCTGGTGCCAGGGGCCACGGTGTGGGTTGGGGTCAGCAGCTTGGGCAAACGCTTTTCCGGCCATGCATGTGCTGATGCCTGGAGGAGAGGGTCTCAGGAGGGCTCCTGGGGCTCATCCCCATCCCGGAACTGGCCTGGCCCTGCTCCGTGCACCATGGGCCAGGCTGGTATGGGCGAGACAGGGGGGAGCATACACGTTGCCCTTTGCGCTGTGGGTCCCTGCGGGCACAGCTGCATCCTTTACCAGCAGCTGGCGTCGAGGTCCTCCAGCTGCTGGTGTGATGGTGCTGGGGCTGGGAACTAACTTGAATGGAGGACACAACGGAGCCACGTGTGCTCTGAGAAGTCAATTAGCGAGAGAAAGCAGGAGTTGGTGCTGGGGCTGAGTGGGTCTGGCCTTGGTGCGGTGCCAGGGGTGAGGATGGGACCACACTCCACACCTGCGCTCTCCCAGCTGGAGAAAGACACCACAGAAGTGCAGGGAGGGACCTCATCTGCAGGCTGGCACGTGCAGTGGCCGCAGGACAGCTGGCAGCTCCTGCTCCTATGTCACATTATTTCATGGCGTTCTTCAATAATCCCTTATAAACTAACCTATTTAAAAAAAAAAAAAAAGTGGTTTGAAGACCAACACGACAGCTATCCTTGTGGAGAAGAGGAAGGCTGTCCCTCCTTATCCCCTCTCTCATCTAAACACTGATCATTATTCTGATTTCCATCCCAATACCGTTGCTCTAGAGACTCTGTGCTATGGTAACCCCACCTGCTGCGGTGTTACTGACTGCTGCATGTTCACCTGTGTGGTTTGTGCATCTCTCGTCACCTTGTTCAGGTCTGCAGAAAATAATTCTTGCAAATGCATCCAGAGCAGAGAGGCCACTGTCCATGGCAAAGGGAGAAAGTCTGCCCTTGCATCCCCAGAAAAGGCATCCCTGCAGCTGCCCTGTGGCTAAGATCAGGAATAGCCAGTGGCAATAGCAAATAGCCATGAGGCACAGACAGGGCACCCTGAGGCTGCAGCCTTGGTGTTAATTGGAAAAGATGAGGTTGAGGCTACCTCAGCTGGGCTACTGTCACAGTGCTGGGGGAGTCCGGGTCAGTCCCTGTCGCACAGCCAGCAGCGGCTGCCCGTCTCAGCAGGACAATTTTCCAGTTGCAGCACTGTTGCGGTTCCTGCGGTGCGCTGGAGGCACTGTGGGTGCGCACAACAGACAGACATCGTTAGAAAGCAGACTGGAAAATGGTATTTCCTCATGTGCCATCGCACTGCTATGGCTTCGGGGCGGGATAGTTCAGGGTGAGGATTCGGTGGGAGCCACCCTCTGCCCAGAACATCTTGGGGGGAGCTGGGGATGGGGCTCGGAAATTTGCCGGGTGCTGCTGCTGCCTGGTTTGCTGAGTTTGACTGCGTTTTCTCCTGGAAATTCTTCAGTGGGATTCCAACTGCTGAGCGGGAGCTTTCCCTTTGTAAATAGCTTTTCTGGTTGCTATGAATTTGTTAGAGAGAGCAGGCAAATTCGAAGCTGTTTGGCCGATCTGTGCTGTTCTCTTTAGGGGAAACGTCCCTCTTAGAAGCCCCCCAGGCTCTTCCTTGGGGACTGCAGGAGTGTTGAGCAAGTCCAGGTGCTGGGGCCATGCTCTGTAGTGGGCTTCGGTGTTGCCCAGTAGTAGGACACAGTCCTTCAGAGAGACTTTACCCCTGCTGCATCTCTTTTAGGTGTGAATACCTGAACTCAGAGATCTTGTCACCAGGTCTCTGGCTTGGTGGTGGCCCCTTGGAGGGTGGCAGAAAGGGGAGCTCGTTCCATCAGAGCGGGGCGGCATAAGGGTTGTTTTTTGTTGACCTCCCCCAGGTCACTTTTGGTCATTGCCTCCCAACTTTAAAGTTGTCAATTTTGTCGATGCAGCTTATGTTTGGTATTTCTGAGCGTGGCTTCGCACTCAGCTGCATCGCAGTGTGCGGTGCCAACTCACCCTGACTGTGGTGTCAGCCAGGTCTCCTCCTCACCGTCATTTGTCCTCCTTGGTGCTCACCACCACCTCTGCTGCTCTGCAAGCGTTATGGTGGCGGGGTTTCTCCCACGTCACCAACAAAGTGTTTCACTGGAGGAGGGAGCGTCCAGGTGAAATTATTCAGCGTGGAAGTGAAAATCAGAAAATGGTCTTAAAAGCAAGAAATCCCTTAACTTTAAATGCACAGGGGTGGCTTCTGAGCTGACCAAGATGCTGGCAGGTGAGACCTGGGAGTATGACGTATAGTGCTCTGGCAATGTTAGCTCCGTGCCTGGCACTGATCAGGCAATGCTCACTCAAAGTTGGGAATTATCAGGAATGACTCGAGAAGATAACAGAAAATGTCCTTTGGCGCAGTGTAAGTCCCTGTGGTGCATCTGTGTCTGGCGCCTGTGCTTCAGAGCAGGCAGTCGAGCTGGAAAAGCCCCAGCACACGGTGACCAGGTGTATGGAGCAGCTTTCAGGTGGAATCACCTACCTGGCCAGACCAGACCCCTCCATCATGGAAAAGAGACAAGCAGGGAGCTGCAGATTCGTCTCTGATCTGCAGAGGGGGGTTGGAGATGGAAACGGTTGCTCAAGGTCTCTCCTGACTCAGGAAAGGGGGGAGCATCTCGTGAAACAGGCAAAGGCAGTGCTTGTTTATCTACTGCGTGATGAAGCTGTTGAGCCCCTTGTGATGGTCTGTATCTGCTCCTCGGAGCAGGCTGCGGATGCTGAAAGTTTGCGCAGGTTTGCAAACAGCTATACTGATCTGTGGAAGAAAAATCCACTCGAGATTATTTAAATACAAAGACATTTCTGACTCCAGAGGCCCTGACTTTCGGAAGCACTTCTGCGGGCTTGTGAACCAGCAGGGTCCCATCCTCTTTCCCTCTGAGCCTCAGAACAAGTGCCCAGCCTTGTGCTGACCGGCTCCGGGTGCCCCTGCCCAGCCCTGCCATTGCTCCCCCGTCTGGAAGGTCTTGTGGTTTCCCTGGTGTCCTGACCCACAGTCAGCCCGGCCATAGTTCTTGTGCTGCATCCTGCACTGGTTCCTGCTGACCCCCAGCCACTGGGTCTTACTATATCCAGCACTGATGGTGTCTCCTGAACATCTTGAGCAGGTACTCCAAGGAGAGGACTTTTTATTTTCCTTGTTCTCTAAGTGGACTTTGTGGCTGCTTTACAGAACTTGCAGACCCCCTGCATCTCCATCTGGGACCACCAGCTCCCATCTAGCAGCTGAAGGTGATACCTGAAAGATCTGTTAGTGGCTGACGTAAGCTTTGCAGCTTCATCCGGTTCTGCCTACTCTTTTCGTTAAAGCTGCAATTATCTGATCAGCCCAAGGCAGAGCTGATAATAGCTCCTTAGCTGCAACACTCCTGCAAAGGCCCCATCTCTTGTGGAGAGAGCTGGTCCTCTGTTGGACTACTTCAGGCTGGGAGGTTTTGTACTATTTTGACTACTCAGAGCTGTGGAGAGGAGGCTGAGTCTCTTTTGGCTCTGCTTACTGGTGTCAAGCTGGGTGCCAGGGATGAACCCACGGCATGGTCCTAGTCAGAGAGCAGGAGCAGCTCTTCAGCCAAACACCTCCAGCATCCCCAGTAAATGCTGTGACCAGGAGGGTGCTCATGCTGTGAAGGAGGTGGAAGGTACCTGCTCCCAGCGTGCAGCTGCCCTGCACATCTCCAGCCGGGAGATGAGGGCTTTTGCTGCAACTGCTCCCTGCCATAGCCAGAGGGCCCTTGAGAGGAGCTTCACTTGTTCCAATGCTTCCCTCCTGGAGTCCTGGTTTCCTCTGCACCCAAAGAAGTTGAGTTTTGAGGTGGAATTGGGGTACAGAATTAAGCAAACACCAGGGTCATGCCAGCTGTCAGGGTGCTGAGCAAGGTGGAGCAGAGCATCACGCTGCTGCCAGCACGGTGTGCTTCAGGGGACCCAAACTGGTCTCACACAGGCACACAGCAATGGCATATCACTACTTGTGGTGGGTGCATGGTTCTCCTTGTTCACACCTTGACAAGGACATCCCGCTCCCCTCCATCTTTCCTTGGTTTAAGTCTAGACTTACCTGCAGCTCAACGATGTGGAGCGGAGGAGATGTCCCCAACCACCTGTGGCCCCTTGGAGTATTTGGGTTTGCATTTGCATTTCACAGCCTGGATCAGGGGTTGCGTTTTTGTGCGGGGTCCTCATGAGCATCCGCAGTTGGTTGCTCTGACTCTTCCCCTGTGGCTGCTGGCACATGGGTGGGTTTCTACAGGACACCCTGCCACTAGCGTCATGCAAAGGTGATGGTGGCTGCCATACACACCAGAGGCAGGTCCTGCCCCAGACAGTGACTGGCCAGGTTCTGCTGCGCCCATCCCTGGTCTGTGCTGGGCTCCCTGCTGGCCATCTGCCTGCCTGTGGCCACCGGTCCAGCTCCAACAGAGAGCATCACCAGTGACGGCATGGACAGGGCAGCTGATTCAAACAAACATTGCTATTGTGCAGCTGGGGAGAAATTGGACACCATTTTCAGATCAGGGCCAGGCTGATGCACTCTTGCCATGAAAAATCAGTAAGAGGGGGCTCCTCCTCGGCGGTGAAAGAAAGACGTTTTCAGTTCTGCAAGGCCAGGCAGTTCCCTCAGCAGTTGCAATAAAAACCAGAACCAGTTTCTGGAAGAAATAGTTTCTGAGGCGTAGATGCCGATATTTAAGAAGTCTTGTAACACTGGAAAAATTCCTGAGGAGTGGGAAAAATTCTATATTAGCTCATTTTTTAAAAGGTGAATCAGATGACCTTGCTAACTGTAGACCCAAGAGCAGGTTCTGCTGTCCCCATCCCTGGTCTGTGCTGGGCTCCCTGCTGGCCATCTGCCTGCCCGTGGCCACCGGTCCAGCTCCAACAGAGAGCATCACCAGTGACGGCACGGACAGGGCAGCTGGTTCAAACAAACATTGCTATTGTGCAGCTGGGGAGAAATTGGACACCATTTTCAGATCAGGGCCAGGCTGATGCACTCTTGCCATGAAAAATCAGTAAGAGGGGGCTCCTCCTCGGTGGTGAAAGAAAGACGTTTTCAGTTCTGCAAGGCCAGGCAGTTCCCTCAGCAGTTGCAATAAAAACCAGAACCAGTTTCTGGAAGAAATAGTTTCTGAGGTGTAGATGCTGATATTTAAGAAGTCTTGTAACACTGGAAAAATTCCTGAGGAGTGGGAAAAATTCTATATTAGCTCATTTTTTAAAAGGTGAATCAGATGACCTTGCTAACTGTAGACCCAAGAGGCTGACCATTGATCCCGGCTCAGTCATGGAGAGGATGCAATCAATTCAGAGTTAAAGGGTGGCAGTATAATTAATGTTAATCAGTCCAGCTTTACTGAGCATGGAGTTTAATAAAAAAAAAATATCAAATTTAGCTGTTGCTTTTTTGAAGTTATGAATATGACTGACTAAGATAACTGACATAATAGGCGAGACTAACAAGTGTCTGACTTTATACAGCATTCTGATTTAAAATTAGCGTTGTGTAAGTTTATTAAAATAACTGCTTTTAATCTCCTTAATATGTATCTTCTCTGTTCTAAAAAAAGTCATTACAAATGGAGAACTGTCGTGGTGGGATGGGCCTTTCTTTTGTGTCCCAGGGGAATCGGCTCTTGGCTCAGATGTCTCTGTGTGCTTGCCAGTTTGCCAAATCTGGCCGTGGCCGGTGCAGAGGGCACAGGCAGCAGCGGTGGTGCTGGATAAACGGGGAATTCTCTGCTCCGTGCCCGGTCTCTGCGGGCAGAGAGGTGCCGGGGCAGAGGACGGGGCTGCGGAGCAGAGCTGTGAGCTGCCATCAGCAAGCGACTGAAGGCAACCCTGAGCGTGGTGTCATTGCAAAGAATTAAGTCAGTCCCTGGATTTATACATAAAAAGGCGTTAAATGGAAAAATCTGGAGAGGAAGCAAAGGAGGCTGTTGGTGAATGATGTACCCGGCCTTGCTGCCCTCAGTTGCAACAGGTACCTAAGTATTGGAGAAGGGTTTGTGAGAGCTGCAGAAATGACTCTGTTTTGTGTTTGATGGAGATTAACACTATTTCAGTCAGCTAGAAGAGGGTAGTGGAGAACTCAATCACAGTCTTTGCAAACCAGAGAGAGAAGACATTTCTGGAGCATCGCTTAGTGCCACAGGGAAGGGCAGAGCCCAGTGCAGCAAAGGGTGCTGGAGCTCACTGAGCTCTCTGGGAACGCAACGCTGGGCAGTAGGATGGGCGACCACCACTGCTGGAGCTGGCAGGGTCTCTGGGATGGAGTTTTTAATCACATCTGGAGAGCTTCACAGAGCTGCACCAGCCCGCGCTGAGGGTCTGCCCTGCCCGTTACTGCCCTGACATGGGCAGCAGCCACCCAGCAAGGGGTCCGAGACAAGCAGAAGGTTTTGGTCCTGCTGCAGGGTGCTCCTAGGGCAAACTCCTCCAGAGACTTGCCCGTGCCTGTAATCTCCATGTTCGCTGTGCTCAGAGGGATGTGTCCAAGGTGAACTTGTCCAGGCGCTTTTCAAAACTAGGTGAATTTGCAATAGGCACCAGTCTCTCAGACTCCTACTGTAACTCAGATGGAGCGACGGAATTGATGCCGAAACCACTGGGTAAACATTCCTGGAGCTGAATTGGGTAGGGGTCAGCCCCGTGTGGCCCTGCAGGCATTCAACCTCCTGAAACCGATGCTGAAGTGCAGAAGTATGTGGAGACCACCTCTGGCACCCGGAGACCGGAGGGTTCCCAGCGCCGCTTTCAGCACAGTTTGAAGCCCGGGGAAGCCTGAAGAACCAACTATCCTGGCAAAGCTCAGGATAAGCAAAACTCAGCGAGTCGTTTATGCTACTCAGTCACATCCATAAACATAACCAAGTAGATTTTAATGCAGAAAAAAATTGTGGTCAGTGTGTTTGCTGTTCCAAAAAACCAAATAGCTGTGTGTCCCCTACCCTTGCAGCCTTCCAGCGGGGGTGCAGGGCTGGGCTGGCTGCAGGGCAGCCCTGCTCCTTCAGCAGCCTCGGCTGGAGCGTTTTACAAGCAACACAAGCCAGGGCTTACATACCCAATACTCATGTTGTAGGAGTTCATGTGGTTTCAAAGTAAAAGCTGTAGACGGTTATTCGTATTGACAATGGTAGAGGTGTATGATCTGGATGCTTTGCTGGATGCTGGTGGCTTGGCGAGAGGAAGCTGCTCCCAGCTGGATGTCCCTTCCCCGGGGACGGCAAGGGTGATGGGCTGGTGGCTGCAGGCACTGCTTTAACAAGAGGGGGGCTGAATGAGGATGGTGCTGACTCAGCACCCACAGCCTGGGGGGAAGCAGGATGGGCCAGCGATCGCCTGCGTGGCGTCCGTCCATCTGTCCTGCCCCATGTGGTGATGCAGGGCTGGTGCAGGCAGCTTTCATCTCTTTGCAGGGAGCAGCACTGAAGTACCTGCCTTCCATCCTCGAGGACGTGTTTGGGATCTTCGACTCCTCTGCGCTGGGGTAGGGTCCCCATTGCCCACATCATCCCCAGTCCTGCTCTGTGGCGTGCTCGCTGCCTGCTGCAGCCATCTCTGCCCCCGCTCCTGTCCCACAGCAACCCCCCATCCCAGAGCTGCTGGCAGGGACCAGGCTGACACCATCGAGTGGAGGGCGAGGGCAGGTAGAGGGGTCTGGATTTCCTGGGAATTGCATCCTTATCCCCTTCCTAGTGCAAAAGCAGGGGAGGGTTTTGCTCAATTTTAGCAGTAGCCTGTGCTTCAGGCAGGGGCTAAGCCTGGAAACCCTCAGCCCCAGCCGAGTCCGTTTTGGGAATTCAGGCAGGGCTTTTACGCCGGGTGTCTCCCTGTGGCCATCTGCGGTGGCCACGGGGTGCCTTGTGGCTTTGTGCGGAGGGACCGTCCTGCCCTGCACCTCCCCGTACAGCCTTGCCCACATCGAGCAGCTCCCCCCTAGCCCAGTAGCCCCATCCTGACTGAAACATGGGGGGCAATCGGTATCCAACCCCTCCGCTGCTGCATTTGTCTTCTGCAGAAAGAAAGGGGCTGCAGGTGCTTGGGACTGCAAAGCAAGCGGGGTTCTCGCAAGCCCCGTATTTAACACTCGTTAAATCCTCTCGCCTGGACGGCAGGGCCTTGCTGCGGGACTTCATCGGGAACCTGCCGCCCCAGCGCCTGCTGAAGCAGAAGCTACAGTCCCTGACCGACATCGTCAACAGCACGATCTTCCAGTCCTATGGTGAGAAGGGGCACCGGGTGGTCCTGGAGGCACTGCCCACGCTGAGCTCTCCAGGAGTGTCAGGGCATTGGATGGGGACGAGTCCCTGCTGCAGGGACCCCTCCTTTGTCCCCCATGCCCAAGGGCAGCTCTGCAGAAGGAGGCAATTCCCTCGAGCCTGTGCTGGAGCCATGCGTTGCAGAGCCCCTCACCGGGGTGCAGCTGGTGCTGTTGGAGTGAACCTCTCCTGCTGTCTGAAAGGCGGCCAGGCTGCAGAGGGAAATACGGTTTAGCTGAAGTACAGTCAGCGTGAGGATGGTTTTAGAGGGGTTGTCGGGGGCTTGCTGTCAGACTGGAAGGACATACTGAGTAGGATTCCCTAGGTTTGCCCTGGCTCCGATGCTGCTTGGTATTCTTAGGAGTCATCTAGATGATGGAAAAAACGAGTAGACTTGTTAAATTTTGCCCTGCAAGGCAGAAGCAACTGGAGGCACACTGGGGGAAAGACTCAGGATTTAAAATAATCTCAACAAGTTGGAGAAAAGGTTTTGAAAGATATAGACCATATTTAAGTTAAAAACTATCATGTGAAAGCAATTGCTGAGCAAGCAGAGGACAGAGCCTGGAGAGCAGCAGTGCTGTAAGGAGGAGTTTGGGGCCGGGGGAGCAGAGGGGGTCAGTGATGCAGCCCTCACAGGGAGAGCATCCCTTGGACACACGAGTGTCCTGCACCCTGCTTGGCGTCAGAGAGGCCTCGGCTGGGCTTACTTCCAGGTGCGATTTTGGGTGGCACGAGAAACTTGTGGCTGAACTGGAGAAAGTCCAGAAGAAAGCAGTGAGAGAAGTAGAGCTTAGAAGACAGGGTGAGGAAGAAATGACCGAGGGGCTTGGGGCAGGAAAGGGCACAGGGGAGATGTGGCAAGCTTCCAGATATCCACGTGGCATCTTCAAAGAGAAGGGGAGTGGGCTGCCATGGGGACCTGGGGCAGGGGTCCCGGGCTTCAGCCACAGCAGGGAGGCTCAGGGGAGCAGGTCAGCTGTGAGCAGCAGGAACCATTTTGTGTCTCTGCCAGTGGAGACTTCGAGAGCAGGCAGCATGAATGTGTCTAACTTGGCCATCGAGTGCAGGTGGCAGGTCACCTCCTGCTGCCTGCTGCAGCTCTGGTCTGAGCCACCACGATCCTGCGAGTGCTCCCCGCATCCTTCCCCACATCCTACCTTGGGTCCTTCCCCGCATCCTCCCCCACAACGCCGGGAGACAGTATGACACCGCTGCTCCGCACCCCACAATGGCAGACAGTCGTGCCAGCAAGAAAACAACAGAGAAACATTTTCCCCCACTTTCATTCTCCTTGCCCCCACTTCAGTGGTGCCACTGTGGTGATAAGCAGCAACGTGGTGCCATCAGTGCAGGGCGGTGTCGCAAATGCCAGCCCTGGGCAGAGGAACGGAGTAGTATGTAATAGGAAGAGCACAAGCTTCTCATATATTCAGCACTAGAGACTCTAGTTGATCTAGATGGTGTCCAGTTTAAAAAGTCTCCATCTATTTAGTTAAATCACAAGCACCTTTAACAAAGCAGAGGAGCAGAGCAAACTCCGCTGGCGGAAGCTGAAGCAAGAGAGGTTCAGATGAGTCTTTTCTGGTTTAGTTTAGTCTATTTTAGCAGAGGGGATACGTAGCTGTGTAACAGGGTTCAACGAATTCTCTGTGTTGGAGCCTTCCCACCAGGGTTTAATGTTTTTCCAAAAACCCTGCTCCATTCGAGGAGGAAGTTGACAACTCCGTGCGTGTGGGTCACAGCCCAGTCCAGGAGCCACGCTGGTCCTGTCCGTCCTATTGGTCCCTTTCCTGCCCAGTCCTCTCCCGTGCTGGGGCGGTGCCAGTGCCCACCAGCCCCATGCCTCCCTGTCCACCCCAACAGAGTGCCGAGAGCTGCTGCTGCAGACGACGGTGCCCATCCTGCAGGAGCTGATCGAGAAGGGGGAGGAGGAAGATGCCTGCATTGAGCTGCTCAGCAACATCCTGGAGGTGCTGTACAAGGCCCAGAAGGTAAATCCCATCTTTTCTGCTGCCTCCTTTTCCCTCTCCAGTAAACACCTTGGAAATGACCTGACTAAACCCGTTTGAGTAGGGCTAAGCACAAACTAGTGGCCATGATATGGTCAGCACTAGGTGTGGTCCATCCAAAGTCAAAGGGGGCTGTTGGCGCCCACCATCCCAGTGGGAACCTGCCCAAGCTGGGGGTAAAAACCTTTTGATTTCCACCTCAGCTGGTCTCTGGCGAGTTCCTGTCAGTCCCCATAGGTGAGGAAAAGGCCTCCAAGCCAAGGGAGAGGACTGACCTTGAGGGCAAGGGCGCACATTGCTGGCCATGCCTCTTACTGTCCCTGCTCTGCGAGCGCAGGAGAAGGGTGAGGGCAAGGGAGAAGGCCGCTGGTCAGTGATTGCTTGCTGGCTCCTGGGCAGCGTTGCACTCCAAAATTAGCAGCGATGGCCCTAAATGTGAGCCAGAGTCCTCTGGCATGGCAGTCCAGCCCAGCACCCCGCAGCAGCGAGCCGACCATGCCTGGGGTGGTGGGGAACCCCCACGTACCCCTTTCCCCCTACGCTGCCTGTGGGATCCTGCCGGCTGGTGTGGGGTACCAAAGCAAGGGATGGCAGTAATACACCGGTCCAGCTGCACTCGGGGCTGAGCGTCCAGCTGGGCATGGTCCTGCTGCGGGTGCCGGACTGCCCAAACATGACTGGTCCTGCGATGGCCTCTGGTGGGACGGGGCTGTCCTTGCTGGGCATCAGCCCGCATTCGCTGGGCGCTGTTTGTTGCAGAGAGCAGAGGAGCTGCGAGCGCAGCACGGCGCGGGCAAGGGACGGCACAAGGAGCGTGGGGATGCGGAGCTGGTGAGTAATTCTCTGGTGGGCTTTGGCACTTGGCAGGTGGTGGGAAGGAGCCAGGTGCCCCTGCGCATTCGGGAAGGGCTTATCTGCATCTCAGTGTGGTGACAAACCCTGTACGGTCACCTGGAGGCAAGGTGCAGAGCTGGGCTGCTGGCAGGGGTGCTGCAGTGATGGGGTCAGGCCTGGGAGGTGCCCTGCAGGGCTGGGAGGCTGGAGGTCTGTGTGGTTCTAGGCTTGCTGTGAGCACCCAGTGCCCCATGTCCAGTCCTGGGGTGGGGGGAGTCTGTGCCCAGACCTTCGCCCTGGTCCTCCATGACCCTGGTGCTTCATTGTGCTCTGGTGGGTGGACTGGGGCCATTCCAGATCCTTGCTCAGGTGACAAGTGAGTGTGGTCTTGTGGCTCTCGGAGGACAGTGGGGCTGTGGGGTTGCCTGATGGCGTTCCCAGGACAGCAGGTGAGGTGTGTGCGAGGTGTGCCGGCGCTTCAGGGCTGGTCCACGCTGGGTCACAGTCCTGCCAGCATGCTGGTGGCCCCGCTAGACCCCGCTGGACTCACTGCTCCCCAAGCACTGGAAGGATAAAGCGTGGGGTTGTAACACTGGAAGCAGCGTACAAAAGACAGAGAGCAACCATGACTGCTGATGGCCCTGGCAGCATGACCTGCGGTTGCGGTTGTCCTTGTAGGCTTCTGCCTTGGCATGGAAGATGTTTGGGTCTAGCACGTGGAAGTCACGGGCACAAGCACAGCCCTCACAGCTGTGCTGGCAGCTCCCTCCCTGGGTCACCCTTCTCCTCCTCTGTTTCCCGCAACACAGAAACGTGGCACCCTGCACGGTGTGGGATGCTGGGGCACATCGCTGTGGTGCCAGCCTGATGGACAGGCAGGTCCATACCTCAGTAGTTGTCCCCCTTTCCCCGTGTTGTCTGCATGCTGTCCTCCATCCCCTGCCTTTCTGCAGCTAGCATTGGGCCATGTCCCTGGGCCACCAGCGAGCCCATCACCACCTCTCCCTGCAAGCCCCCATCCACCCACAGTGAGGCTGAGCGGCTGCTGGTGGCTGTTCCTGCAATGTTTTGGGAAAGCACAGGGATCTGTGCTCCTGCCTCACAGGATAGATCCTCTATTTCTGTCCTTTCTAGACTGGTCTGTGCTTTGGGGTCCCTTTCTGTGACCCCTTGGGAAGTCCAGATGTCACACCTGCAGCACAGCGACCGGCACTGTGGAAGCTGAATTAGATGCGTGCCACCATGTCCTGGGGTGGGCAAGGTGGCTGTGTGAGCATGGCTTGCTTAATTCCCATGGCACTGGGAAGCCCAGGCAGTGGCAGGGAAAGCTTGGAAATTGTGGTTGAAATGTCTCAGTTTGGCCTTAACTTTTTAACCTAAAATAACCTTTAAGGAGAGGATGGTCAGGATGCTCATGGGTGAGGATCCTGCTCTTGTTTCAACCCCGTGTGAGCTGAAACACACCTTTGTCTGCCTACTGAGGATGCGGCCATCCCCAGGTGGGTGGTCGGCTTTGCCAGGGGGGCGTACGAGGCCGAGCTGTACAGAGACCTCGAGCCCCATATTAACACTGGAGCGCCTTGTCCCCGCTCCAGCTCCAGCTGGTCACCCTGATGCTGCCAGCCCTCCGCACGGTGATTAAACGAGCCGTATTTGCTGTGCTGGAGTGGAATAGTCTTTTATTTCAGTATTTCATATAAATCATGACTCTTTAGAGTCAGCTCGTGATTTCCCAACTCCCAAGGTGCCATGAGTCTGTCCCTCCTAGCAGTGTGCTCCTGCCCGGCCATCACCACGGACCAGAGCTGTCTGGACCCACGGCTGAGGATCCCAGGTGCAGGGCTCATCCAACGGCCACAGTGTCCCATGGCTGGAACTGCGGAAGTGTTGGGACTCATCCAGAAGCCATGTTCTCCCATGGCTGGAGCAGAGCTGCTTCCTCCCCGCTGCACGGGGCACTACGGGGTGCTGAGGAAACTCATGCCCTCAGCCCCGGCTTCCAGTCCTCTGCCAAGAATAACTGCAAACACTTTGCAGCCTCCTTGCCTGCTTTTTTGCTCAGCCGCAGTAATTGCGGCGGTACCACGGGGCTGATCGCGTGTGGCCTGGGAGGCGGCGTGTCCCCAGCCCAACCTGCCAGCACCGGGTACCCGTGAGGACTGGGGACTGCGTGCCAGCTCTGTGCCGTGGGGGCGATTCCCATCGGCTGTGGTGATGGTGCTGTCACCTGTGCCCTCCCTCTTGGCACCACAGCAGGCAGCGCCAGGTGCTCGGGCATGGCCGTGACACCTCTTGCCTTGCAGGTGAAGGTGAAGAAGCACATCCAGCTGATCCTGGAGCGGCTGCTGCACACCGTCAATCGCAGGGTGATTGTCCTGGACCGGGAGAACACCTTGCGGGTGAGTACCACCACCGCCGCCTCGCGCTGCGCCGGGCATGGCAGTGGCTGCCTTGGGTGACAAGGGAGATGCAAAAAGCATAGCTGATTTAGGGGTCTGGGACCGTGTGACCAACGCTGCTCCTCAGCTGGCACTGCAGCCTGGTACCCTGCTGGCTGGGGCTGGATGAGCAGGTGTTTAATGCAGCAGGATGCATGAGAAAGCCCAAAAAAGGCAGGGGGAGCCATGCCAGAAGCAGGTCTGGAGCAGAGGGTGTGTTGGGAGGAGCAGGCAGGGTGTTTGTGATGCACGAAGCCCATTTTGGAAGCAGATGAGGGGTTTGGGCTGTATTCTCCAGAAAAAAGCGACAGGACTCGGTGAACCATCACAATTTTACGTGCCAAAAAACATGTGGGAGGAATGTGTGGGGACACTCACCTTTCATGGGAGGGGGGTGGGCAGGTCAGAGCGCTCCTCAGCCACAGCTTCATGCAGAGCAGCCGCACTGGGTGCAATGGTCTAATCACGGAGGAGGGGGAAACGGAGCTGTGGCCGGTGTGGGTTCACGGGCACTCTGATGTAGAGGTGGTGGCAAACCCAGTGTGCTTGGCTGGGCAGCAAGGAGTGGGCCCAACAAGCTGCTCTGGGTTGTGAGCGTGGGCGAGGAGCTAGGTCTGACCGTGTTCTGGGAGCCCAGAGCGAGCAGTGGGGCTGTGCAGCAGTGGAGAAGCACCGTGCTGTGGGGAAGTACCATGCCATACCGTGCCTGGGGAGGTGTGGGCATCCGGAGTGGAATTTTAGCCCTTTGCTTGAGCCTTCTTGGGATAAGCCTGCAGGTTTGCCACCCTGTTCTTTGTTCTTGTTAATAAAGACCTAATTAAACCGAGGCAATACAGCCGGTGGGCAGGATGGCACTTTATTGTCATTGGCCCTGCGCATGTTTTCCGGCAGATGAGGCTGCCCTAGTCTGTGAGCATCACTGACATGATGAGGCACCGGTGTTGCTGCTCCCTGCCTGGTGACCCTTTCTCATACCCCTGAGGGACAGGGGGAGGCGTGAGGTCTCCCCTTCAGCTCCCGGCTCAACCTGCCCTCCCCTGCCCGCTTGGCCAGTGCAGCCCCATGGTGACGTTTCCCAGCACTGTCCTGGGGTGGCTTTGCTGGCTGAGCCGATGGTGGGTGCAGTCCCCGGCACGCACCCGGGTACAAGTGACCTCGTAGCCAGGCAGTACCGCTTTGCCAGAGGCACCCCTGGCTCCGCTGCCAAAAGCAGCACCGCTGGGGCTGCGCGGGGCGGGCACAGCAGGCTCTCGGCGTTGGAGTATGATTCACGTGTGACTCAGGCAGGAGATGCGTACGGGGTTGCATTTGGTATCATCTTGCTTTTAGCCTCTGTTCCCAGGCTGTGTGATTCAGTGCCAGAGGAAGCAAGAGCAAAAAGAGCTGTTGGGCACGCTCTGCCAGGCTGTGACAGAGGCGAGGGGGGGATGCTGGGTGCTGAAGTGTGGCCCCATACCCAGTGTGGGAGAAGGGAAGCGATCCTTTGGCTGCGCCTCACTCCCTCCACTTGCTCCCCTTCCCACGCACTGGCCCTGCTGGGCTCCAGAAACGCTGTCTGGCAGCTTTCCCAGTGCGTTCGTGATTTCCATACTGCTGCCGCAGCCCCTGCTTTCACCCCGCTGTTCGAGGACCCTCAGCTCAGGCTGCTCCAGCAGCTGTGGCTGCCAGAAAGGTCTGGAGGGGGGACCGGAGATGTGTGTGTGCCCACGCCGGAGGCAGCCCTCCATCCACCCTGTTGCTGCTGGGCAAGAAGCAGAATTTGGGAGGAGGAGTGCCCCAGATTCACTGTCCCAGGGGCTCGGACATCCCCTGCCCTTGCCTTGATGGCTCAGCCTGGTCCCACAGGTCCTGTGAGCGCTGTGCAGCAGGGATGAGCTCCCACAGGAGAGGCTGCGGCTG